AGTCGTAATTAGTCTCACGTAGATGCGCACCTAGCAGATCAATATCATTCCTTATTGTAATAAAATAAACATTTTTCTATGTACATATGAGGGGGGTCTATAATTATGACAACCCCTGTATATAATGACCAGACTTATCGGAACGAGAAGACTATTTAGAAAATGAAATAGAATAAAAACAATATATATTCTTTAGAAAATTCTAGTTCATCTAATTGTTCTGTTAATAATCTTTCTTTTTTTTCCAACTTATAGATTGTTGTGGATTAAATTTTTCAGGATCACTTAATTGCATACTTTTTCAGCTATTTTTTCGATAGAAACGAATTCTCAACTATCGAATTGAAAAGATAAGAAAAATCGACTTTTTTTATACAAGCCTCGAGACAATTTGATCAAATAAAACGTTGAGTGAACACCTTTTTTCTGATCTGATTCGATCTGAAGTTCAACAATTTCTAAACGATCCAATTGCAGATATGCAAGACTAAGTTTCTTCTATTCCGATTACAATCTCGATCTTATTTCCGACCTAAACAAAACCATTTCGAAATCAACTCATAAGAATTCTAAAAAATTTTCAAAAGTTTACTTCTTTGATTTATGAAAAAACAAATGTCATACTTATTTTTTGAGTCATGTTGCGATTGATATCATATATCAAAAACAATTCGTTTAGACGTAATAGAACATTCAATTACAACCTTTGATCTCAGTTCTGGTAAGGGACATCTTCAATTGTTGACTTTCATAAATCTCTAGACTCAACCAAACCAACTATAGTCTCTGCTTCTTACATTTTTACAATATTTAATTTTTCAGTTTACCAAAGAAAATCAATGGTAGTCTTTTAATGAACGATACGTTGGACAATTTGGGAATAGATTTCTAGTGTCTATATGGTATACTGTACCTTATTCTAAACATAATATTATGCATGATACAATACATGACCAAGAATTATTGCAAAGTCGTCAACAATGACGAGAATCTTTCGAATTTTCAATAACTGCAGATGATTTAAGCTATTCGTATCAAACAAAAAAGATCACTTTTTTTTTCGGATATGTATTGATTGTGTCACTAGCATATTGAAAGATCAATTTCAATTTTGTGTTTTTCAATGTTGTCTTGTTCTAGTAAATGTTTCATTGCATTCGTTTGATCTTAGAATTTTTCAAAGAGATAATAAATGCATTGGACTATTTCAAAATTACATTTCTTTCGTTTTTTAAAGTAATTTGTTACATGTATGATGTAATTTCTAAAGACATTCAACTTTAGTATTTTGATATTTTTTAAAACATTAGAAAAGAAAAATTAATTGAAATAGAAAACTTGATGATTTTTTGAAAGAAGAATTGAGTAGTAGTCTTTTTAGATTCGTCAACAACAACGACGGCGACAACAGAGAAAGACCTCCTTCCTTCATTTTTGTTTTTTGTAATTTTGTATATTTTTTATGTGATAGGGGTTTTATCCTTGAGTTGAGTCCTTTCGTGGTACCCACACCATTGAGATTGCCTTTTGATTTAGAAATATATTTAGAATGAGTGAGAGTACTGATAGATAACGACATCTTTTCCTACCGTTTAGACTAGTTTCACTCGCGAACGATAGAAAAATCCCCCATTGGTGGGAGTAGAGGAACGAACGAGAGTAGAGGATGAACACTAAGAAAAGATAGTCACATAGCCTGAAGAAAAATTCGAAACGCATCGCTTATTACAATTGTTCACGTATCGTATAACTTTTTGTTGAAATTTAAATAAAATAATAAAAAAAACTAAACATAAAGACTTAAAAGATTCTTTCAAAGAAAAATTTTCAAAAAAACTCTCGTTCAAAAATCTAAATTTCATCTTCATTTTTCCTTATCAAAAATAGTCTTATTTTTTCTTTTCTTTACTTTAAAAAACTCTCTTTTCATACATTTTCTTTTCTCAAACTCATTTATTTATTTATTTATTTATTCAATTTTCCTTATCTCATCTAAACCTAGATTTTTTTCTTTTTCATATTGAAAAATTATTTAAAAACATTCAAAAACATTATTAATTTTTGATTTTCTTTCGTTTATCTTTTTGTTTCATTAAAAAACTTGCTTATTTTTCATCTTCTTTTTGAAAAATTATACAAAAACTCAAAAAAAAGTGTTATTTTCTTGTTTTCTTCAAATTATTTTCTTGTATCGTTAAAAATTAGATTATTTTTGTTTTTTATTGAAAAAATACCAAAAACTTGAAAACGGATCTTGAAATAAAATAAGATAAACAAAAAAACTAAACTAAAATAAAACTAAATAAAAAAAAATTAAATTTATTTATGTCATATTTATTCATATTTATTTAAATATTTATTCAAATAGTTGTTCTTCTTTATTTTGTATAATTGTTAATTCAATTATTTATTTGTTTAAATTCACACCCCATACACATTAAGTTCAACAATCACCAAGTTCTCAGTTGACGAAAGAATTAATAATGTCTTCAATTACCATTATTCCAACAACAACAATATCATCATCAAATTATCATCCAATTATTAATATTCCACCTATGCACCCATCATATTTATTACCAAATTTTCCACACCAACAAAATCCACCATCATATCATCATCTCGTCCAACAGATTCCAAAAAAAACATCATTATATGGAGCTGGTCAACGTAAATATAATAATTTCAATAAATTTCAAACAGGTACAACAACAACATTTAGTGGATATACAAACATGACTGGCAATCGACAAATTAATTTACCACCAATACTAGCACCTCATTGTCATTTACCACCATCATCATCATCATATCATCATCAACAACAAAATAATAATTACATTCAAAATTTGCCATCATTACTTGATACTAATCCATTTCATTTTCCATCTCACCATAATACACGTAAATATCATCATGCACAACAATATAATCCTAATAATTATCAATATCATCATTCTCGAGCATTATCACGATCTCGATTTCATATTTTATCACAATTACCATCAAAATCACGTTCATGTTCACGCTCACAACGTTATCAACCACCACCACCACCACCTATTAAACCACATCGCAATCATCAACATTATCATAATAATAATAATTTTCATCGTTCACCATCACCATCATACAATAATAATTATAAAAATTGCAATAATAATCATTCATTTAAAGGTCTTATATTATCGGATTCAATGTGTTCTCGTGTGAGAACTTATGCTATTAGAAAATTAAATGTCGTCGATGTTGAATTGTCATATGAATCAGGTTGTGATATTATTAAAATGATAAATTGGTTACAAACACCTGATGCTCAACGTACGGTAGGAAATATAGATTTTTTGTTAATATCATTGGGTACTAACGATGTGGGACGATACGGAGTCGATGTATCTCTGCAGCGTTGTAGTGATCTCATACGTTTCATACGTCGGTCATACCCAGGTATCCAGACCATTGGTTGGTTGGCGTTGTCTCCAAGATGGAAGCCTACGAGATTCGTTTCTGCAGCTGAAATCGGAGGTCTTCACCGCCAATTCAATGAGCGTCTTCAGGTCTTATCCAAGCAATTGGATTTTGACGTTGTTGACGCGCGCTTAGGGCCTGCGGATATGCGTGTGGAAGATGGGCTACATCTATCGACTACCACTGGCAGATGGAAATATGAAGGAGCTCTTCGTGAATGGTTCTCTTCACGTGCCGTCGCACATTCTTGTTCTTCTTTTTTTTTCAGCGTCATTATATACCATCAACATTACATAATTATAATGATAGATTCATGCAACATCATTATCAACGTTACAATAACAGGCAAGTAGCGAGTAGTAAAGATCAAGCATTTAGTAAAGAGGGAGATGATATATTATTGATAGATACAGAAGAAATACCAATAGCCAGACCATCTAGAAAAAACTATACAAATATTTTAAATTTAACGTTAAGTGAAAACGAAAGTGAGAGTAATCCGAATAGTAGTATTAGTAATAGTGATACAGATGAGAAAGCTAAGAAGAAACGTAAATTTCATGATATAAGTCTATCGCCATCAACGACTGATAGAAATAGCAAAACAGAAATAAGTATAAGAAAAAAAAGTAAGAAGACAAAGACAGTACGAATAGACAAAGATCCACGAGCTTCCGTAGATAGTACAGTTTTGTTAGGTAACGATAACTCAATCATGCTTCCGAGAACTCCACCTGGGCTACCAAAACCTCCAGTTATTAGCCCTCGACATAGCACACCAGTGAAGCAACCGCCGATAATTTTTCATAAAGGTTTTCGTCAAAGTGAAAGTTTCAATCGTCCTGACTTTCTTTTGTGGTTGAAATCTAACCAACATTTGCGCACGATTAAAGGTGGTGCATCAAAGATATGTGAGTTGTTAGATAAGGTGCGCATTGAGAATCCTGCGTTGGATGAGATTTTTCTTGCGCTCGCTGAGAATAACGAGAAAGTGAACCCGCATTCGTTTGATATCGCACAACTAGTACTTCCTAACGACTCCCTTATTGTCCCTCCTAAATGGACCCATCGTACTGATTTGGGAGCAACATACGTTTGGAGTTTTGACATTCCAATCGACGACCTGAAAAGTTATTGTGACGAAAATGAGGAAAAGGGTGTGGGTGTGGGTGTGAGTGTGGGTGTGGGTGTGGGTGTGAGTGTGGGTGTGGGTGTGAGTGTGGGTGTGGGTGTGGGTGTGGGTGTGGGTGTGGGTGTGGGTGTGAGTGTGGGTGTGGGTGTGCGAGGGGGATGTGGTTGTTCATATTCAGTATATTCACACCCACACTCACACCCACACCCACATCAAAAATTTCGCTAAAA